CCCCCTTAGGGGCCCGACATCCTCGTCGGCACACACGCGGCCAGGGTTAGGCTCTGATACCAATTGTCACATCGCAGCCCGGGGCGAATCACTTCCCGAGCCCGCTCCACCACCGTAGCACGATATTGTCCGCTTTGGGCTTACCATTCCCTCATGGTTTTGTTTTTGGGAACTCACGAGCAACTTCTCAATGGGTCACCCATCATGGGATTGCTCTAGCCCCCTTCTCGCTTAACTTCGGAGTTCCTACGGAACCCGAAGCCAGTGAGCTCCCAAAAGGCCTCGTGCTAGGTAGGGATGGGAATATACATATAAGGATCACTCCTCTTGGTGATGTGGGATGTTACATATGGCACTTTGGCATCTTTTAAACTTTTACTGTCCAACCGATATGTCAAATTTTAAACATAAAATAATAATTCATATGTATTTTCATTGCATTGGGAATGAAAAGAAACAAAAGGATAATGCTTTAAACCAATAAAAAATTAATAAAAAACATTTAACAATTAATTAAAAAAAATTGAAGGTGCTGTCAAATTTGGCAGCAAGAGGGAGAGATGTCAATCCACGTCATGCCACATCAGATTTGGCTCCTCGATTGAAAAACATTAATATTTTCTTTTGTTACCATTATTGCTAATTTGGACAATTTGACATCTCCTTTTGGGATGCTTTGAGTATCAAACTCGGTGCAAGGAGAGGAAAATAGAATTGGGGGAGGGAAAGGGAGACACAGGGATAAGGGAAATGGGGTGTGGGCCCCACGGCCACACAAAATCCTCACATAAAAATAGTAATATTAAATAAAATATCATAATAATAATATAGTATTGTACCATTTTTTATCATTTCACACAATTACAGCTATTTTATATAAAAGTTTACCAAACACTATCATACTACCTTTTTTTTCTCCAAAAGCATTTTTACAAAAAAGTTTACCAAACACTCTGCTGTTTTATTTCATAGCTGCTTATTCTCACAGTACAGCAGAATCAATTTTTTTGTAAAGCATATTAATACCAAACCAGCTCTAAAACTCTTGTGAACTCTCGACAATTTAAAATTAATTTTCATGACAACGTTACAAAACATTGGGACCGCCACAATGGTGGTGGGTAAGCAAACAAATCCCTATATATTGCCAGTTAGTACACCCATTAGTATATCCATCTCTTCCATTCTCAGTCCTTCTCCCATCCTCTCTCTCTCTCTCTCTCTCTCTCTCTCTCTCTCTCTCTCTCTCTCTCCACCAACACCAAATCCAACAAATGGGTTCGACCGGAGAGACTCAGATGACTCCAACCCAAGTCTCCGACGAAGAAACCAACCTCTTCGCCATGCAGCTAGCCAGCGCCTCCGTTCCCCCCATGGTGCTCAAGGCAGCCCTCGAGCTCGACCTCCTCGAGATCATGGCGAAAGCCGGGCCTGGCGCTTTCGTTTCTCCGGCGGACTTAGCTTCGCAGCTGCCGACCAAGAACCCTGACGCCCCCGTCATCCTGGACCGCATGCTGCGCCTCCTGGCCAGCTACTCCATCCTCACTTACTCCCTCCGCAAGCTTCCCGATGGCAAAGTAGAGCGGCTGTACGGCCTCGGCCCCGTCTGCAAGTTATTGACAAAGAATGAGGATGGTGTGTCCATTGCTCCTCTCTTACTCCTGACTCAGGACAAGGTCTTTGTTGAGAGCTGGTAATTACCATTATTCTTCTTAGTTTATCATCTTAATTTGATCGTTAACAAGCATTAATTAATGGGTTTTAAATAGGTTGATTAGAATAAAATCATAAAAATGTTACTAACTGCGAATTGTGGCTTGAATATGTGATTGGTTTCTATTTTTCCTAGTGTGTTCTTCTTTTGTTTTTTTTTTTTTTTTTTTTTTTCAAACACCCTATCGTGTTCTTCTTTGTTCATATTACTTTTGGCCGATTTAGTGGTTAGGGACGGACATTGACACACCCCGACCTAAATCGAGGCATACTAGCCGTTACGTAATGGTGACGTAGCCATGTGCGCAATGCGGAGCTCCTAAGGGGGTGGATTGTAACATCCCACATTGTCCAGGGGAGTGGATAAAACAAAGTACTTTATGTTACATGAAAACAAAATACTAATTGATAAAACAAAAATAAAATAAATTTCATGTCATGTTGAATCCCCTTCATCTGCAAAACCTAGTCTCTAAACAAAGCAAATCCAATTACATAAAACATAATAACTTTTCACATCCAATTTCCTCTAATCTTTCATCAAATATCTAAAAGTCAATCCAATTGTATAAACCCTAATGATTGTTTACATCAATTCAATTCTACCTTTTATCAATAATATCCAAACTAAGTTAGTTACAAAACCTCAAAATTGGGTTTCCCTTCTTCTTGAACGTGTGAACCCTTTTTTTATATTTTTCGACAGTGGTGAAAATTTTGAAACAGGTCATTCTCCTTTTTCATATGTGAAAAGAAAAAAAAATAAAAAATAAAAACTCATGAGGAGAGAAGGGGAGTGAACGATTGAGAGATGAGAGAAATGAAGGGGATGTGGGGGAGAGAGACGGTTGGAAAAGAAAATGGAAGGTTTCACTCGAGAAATTTTTTTAATTTAATCAGTTTGCAGAATTATTTTGTTTCGGTGTAATAGGAATTATTTAAGTTGATAGTTTAACCTACCCATAAGATTAATTTGAAAGTTTATATGAAAACAAAACCGCACAGGTCCTCAAAATAAGGACCTTAAGAGATCAGTATTCGTGACATGTATGCTTGTTTTGGGCTTGTGCAGGTACCACCTGAAAGATGTTGTTCTTGAAGGAGGAATTGCATTCAACAAGGCCTATGGAATGACTACTTTTGAGTACCATGGCACTGACCTTAGATTCAACAAGGTTTTTAACAGGGCAATGGCTAACCACTCTAGCATTGCCATGAAGAAACTTCTTGAGACCTACAAGGGCTTTGAGGGCCTCACATCCGTCGTTGATGTCGGTGGTGGTATCGGCAGTGTTATTCACATGATTGTCTCTAAGTACCCCTCAATTAAGGGCATTAACTTCGACTTGCCTCATGTCATCAAAGATGCTCCCCAATATCCTGGTATGTTCTTCATTTATGATCATGTTCGTTGTTAGTTACTGTTTGGGCCTGAATAACAACTTGAGCTGAGATGAGTTGACCCAAGGACCATGGTTCTCAACCTAGTAAAATCTTTCAAGTTAGTGGGATTTTAGGCCATGAGTAGGATCAGTTCGACCGAGTCCTCTTGGAGGTAGGACTATGAAAAGTTTAAGTATAGGGGTGACTTGGTCGAGTCCTGCACAAACTGAAATTGCAAAGATCAGTATAAACTATGGATAAATATGAATTATTCCAAGGATCCGAATGCCTACGCGACCATATAAAGATGAATGAATCTCCATGGGACTAGGTTTAGAGTTCTGATGAGAGTGAGAGAGGCCGAGACTAAATAGAGACGAACTTTTGGCTAAGAAGGCATAAAGGGAATATTCAAGCAAATATTGAGCAAACACAATCCCATTAGGACTCTGCCTCGGCATACTTGTTTATCCAGAAAGCTTCGCGTATAAATAGAAGAGGCTCTTCAACATTAAAAGCCCCTTCAACTCAACAAACAACTTAAACACTTTAAACGAAAACCCTCGCTCTACGCGAAACCCTTCTCACACCCCTAAGAAGAACACCAACTGTCCTAACCTAGTGGAGCAGCAGAACCAGACAATTTAGGAGCACGTTCAGTTTGGATAAGTGAACAACATTGTTGTTCGTTGGTAGGTTATTTATTCAAGTCTTGGCGAATAAAGAGTTTGCAATTCTTTCGCCTAAATAGGTCATCTCAATAGTTCCTCATTAAAATGAGGTGTTACCTAATTACCATTTGTTCGGCATAGTGAAAGTCGAACCAGTTATTGAACCTCGCAGTGATCTAGTAAACTTGTCTTCAGGTTCTAGAACCCAAGGCCGAGATGTGTTCCTTCTTCTGCCCAAATCGCTCAGGTGTAGAACTCAGTAGTGCATTCCCCACTACCACCACATCAATTATACTTGCCTGACCAAGTTCGGTTGTGAATTGGCACACCCACATTCATTATTCTTAAGTTAACTCATAATCATTCAGCATGCGCACCAAATAGACATTGTAATTTCTAGTGTCAACAGTTACTTAAAAGCATTCACCTTTACACTTGATCTCTCTGAAGTACGATTTCTCTTCCTCTAATATTTGCTTATATAAAAACAAATCATGTTTGTACTATTTATCATTTTTGCTAACGAATATGAGGTCTATGAATGTTGGATATAGGTGTGGAGCATGTTGGAGGAGACATGTTTGTAAGTGTTCCAAAGGGAGATGCAATTGTCATGAAGGTGAGTTATTATTTATCCAAAAGAGAGTCAATGACTATTTTGTAATGCTAATATCAATTTTTTAAGCTTAGTTGCTTAATATATTTGGAACTAATACCATATCATATCATGTATGCAATCTTATAGCATATATGTCACGATTGGAGTGACGAGCATTGCTTGAAACTTTTGAAGAACTGCTACGCTGCGCTCCCCGACAATGGGAAGGTGATTCTTGTTGAGATCATTATTCCGGTATCTCCAGACAGCAGCCTTGCCACCAAGTTAGCTAACCATGTCGACGTGATCATGTTAGCTAACAACCCCGGCGGAAAAGAGAGGACGGAGGATGAGTTTGAGGTCTTGGCTAAGGGATCTGGATTCCAAGGCTTCCGCGTCATGTGCTCCGCTTTCGACGGCAATGTCATTGAATTTCTTAAGAAGAATTTGATATAACCTTGGCTATGGTATGCTGCCATATGCATCCATATTTCTTTGGTTTTTGATATAGTGACCACAAGTAGACTTTCATGTATTCCACAAAAAGTAGTAAGAAAAGGATTTTATGTTGCTTATATGTTATAAACAAGCAACTTAGCCCGAGCGATGCCACGGGTCTAAAACCATGTTAAACGTATAAAATATATTGGAACATATTTACTTCTATATCAAAACATATTTACATCTTTATGATCAATAAAAAACAAAAGATACATGTTTGTACAATATATTACAACGCTCTGAGGCTCATGTCTTTAGTTCTAGTGATTCATACTTCCTCAGCAAATCAACCATTTGTTCTTTACCAATGTCCAAGGCCTGTTATGGAGAAGGCAAATGGAGTATAAATGTCAATGGAGCTACCAACACGTAACTTAAATTTAGTTAAAGTATATTAAATTTAAAAGCAAGAAATTAGAAGATAACTAAATCATGTAGAAAGTCGTAATAATAATCATAATTTAGATGAAACACATGAAATTGGAGTGGCCTTAATGCATGTATATCGAATTCGAAATAGAAGAAAATTCAATTAGGCTGGAATGGAAAATTTTAAGCTTTTAACATAATAAATTCGATGGCACATACCGCTCATTCGATATGTGGTATGACAAAACTCTAAAACTTATCCAAGTTTACACAATCATACTTGGCACTCGTCAGTTTTCACCTATTACAAATGCAAAGCAGCACTACATTCCAAAGTTAATTTCAATAGGAAATACTACTCTCCAATGATTTTTCCGATCAAAGGAAAAGAAGTCTTCAATGATTAGGTGATGTGACTCAATCGACAAAGGCAAGCAGAGATCGCCACCTACCTATTCCAAAGCTAAAATTTCAAGCGGAAATCCATATAATGATTTGGTGAGATGACTCAAATGTGAGAACCAAGCAGAGAGCACTGAAAAATAAACCTCAGTAATCGAGCAACAAAATCACAAACCAAGGGATGCAGCTATTAGGATGTACTCGGTTATCTATAAGAATACATAACCTACTACCTAAAGCCTATAATGTTATATCACCAACAGTCATAGATAAGAACCAAATTAAGCACCATAATTCAAAACACATGATTTTATCAAGCAAAGAGAGGGAAACAATTTCACCCTAACAAAATCAAAGGAACCAAGTTTCAGCCAACAACCAATCAAAATAACACCACACAAACACCAAAAGTTGCACCAATTCCACACAAAAATATAAACTTGTACGGAAATTACTACGACTAGAACAAAAGTCAAGCTAACAGAAATACCAATATTTCCAACAAAAAGAGGAAAAAAAAAACCACAAAACAAAAATCCAACATATTGTACAGAAAGATAGCAGCTTTACCTCCCCAAAGAACAATAATTGAAATTTCAGCACTTGGATTTGTTGGGTGGTAGCAGTGGAATCAACTCGGTATTCAACTGTTCATTCTCAGCTTTTCATGTTATTGTTCAGTCCTCTTTATCTTAATAAAGTTTATTTCCTGGAAATAAAAATAAAAAAAAAGATTTTTACTATTGGATTAAAACTAACACGTAATATAGAACTTCTGTGTTTCACTTTCTTATTGGTCCAAGGCTCGAGAAAAGTATTTCATGAGTTGCCAAAAAAAAAAAAAGTCGAGAAAATGAAAATAGTTGTTGTATATCATCCTATTGAAACCATTAAAATAGTTTTTACATTATGTGAAGCAAATTATATGAAAGTAAAATTCAATTGAAATGTCAATTAACGGAAGATCTAAATTGTTCATATATTAAATCATCATATAAGCAGAGGACCTTTTTACCACAACTTGATCCACACTGTTAGCAACTGAAACAGTTTGATTCTTTATAAACAAAAGGAAGAGGAAAAGAGAAAGACAATCAGCATTTGAAATCAAACGATCATATTGAGATACAATCTTGACTTTCAACTCCCCCTGCATATTTTTTAAAAAAATTACAGATTAAATTAAATAAAAACAATTCAATAAAATTAATCACACATTACATTTGAGTAATCATAAAAATCGAGTGTATATTGGTTGAATTATGGACAATTTACTATGGCTCAGTCAAGTAAGGACCAATTGTTAAAAGTAACATGAAGTCAAAGTGTAATGAAAAAAAAGAAGATGAAATATAGAAAGTAATATTATCACAAAAACAGCAGCAAGAGACCTTAATTAATTAAGGTGGCTTATTTTAGTGAGCAAAGAAAAGCTAACAATTAACAAAGCATGGATTTATTTGAGAAAAAAACACAGGATGAAATAACATTCTCTTTCCAAAAGAACATAAAAACACCACCAGTGATTCAAAAATATTAGTTAACACAAACAAACAGCAACAAAAGCCATTAGACATAAGGTAAAGTACCAAAAACTTGATCCAAGAAAAAAGAATCATTTACCTCTACGGCTTTAACCATGTGATGGGGAACTTCCTCTTTCCCATTTAAATGGTGGATTGAATACCAAACATGCAACTCAACAACTAAGATTGTTACTACAGATTATTCAAGAACTAATTACCAAAAACAACACTCTGAGGTTCATACCTTTAGTTTTTGTTCATTTATTATTTTTCTCAGTAAATCAACCATTTGTTCTTTATCAATTTCCAAGACCTGTTATAGAGAAGGCAAATAGAGCATAAAAAATTAACTGGATTAGCAACATGTAACTTAAATATACTTAAGAAAGTATATTTAATTCAAAACCAATGAAATTAGAAGATATCTAAATCATGTGGAAAGTCATGAACTCAAGAACTAAACTATCCCGGTGAGTCTGAAATTGAGAGATACCCATTAAACAAACATTTCAACGATTTGGGAGATACCCATCAACTTTTCGACTTGAGAGATACCCATGTCGATTTTTCAAGATTGATGGAGAAAATGAGGAACCCAAATAATTAGGGAGGTTTATATATACCTGGCGAATGGAAAGGAGAACCAAGAGGGGTTTCCAAAACCCCGTCTTGAAAAGAAAGAAGGAGATCGAGGTCGTCCTGACGTTTAGACATGCTTTCGCTCTCTCTCTTCGTATTCTGCGTCTGTGATTTTTGTTACAGTCTTTGCTTGCAACAATCGAGGTAGGTGGAGGGTCGATGAGGAGGAACTTGAGCTCCTTCTGCAGTCTGAGGTTGAGAGCGATGGAAAATGAAGAGATTTATCCCTTTCAGATATCAATCCCCAAATCCTCTTCAACAATTCGGATTAGCCAACACTTTGGCCTGAAGCCAAAATCTGTCTACAAAAGCTCTACCTCACTCAAGTGGGCAAACTCCCAAAATAATATGAAAATTAACCAAATCCATACACCCTTCCAAAACCCTAGCAATCGATATAAATTTGAAACCAAAAATAATTTCAAGGAAATTGATAGATAATCAAATTTATTTGAGGAGATGAAGAGGGTAACCTACTTTAGTACAATTTAACTCTAATTCATCCTTCTGGGTTGCCCTCCTTACTCTTTTCGTAGACTATCTCATCCACAAACAGGTGTTTCTCACGGCAGTGCCTTCTGACCAAGTTAAATGGATCATACTCATCCAGCCATCTTGCCCGCTCTGATGGAGCAATCTTTCTTCAATTAATCTACCTTCGTTTGGGGTTGTGGATTTAAGATTTCTCGTTCTAGGGTTTGATGGAGTCTGCAGCCAGTTGGAGAAAGATTGAAGCGGTGGAAAGGAGGCAACAAAACCGCTAGAGAAGAAAATTAAAAGGGAATAAAACCATGAGAGCAAGATTGAAGCGGTGGAAAGGATGAACAATGAGTCGAGGAGAGAAAGAGAAGAAGCAGCAAAAACCCAAGCGTCCCATTTTGCTCTCCGTTTGACAGCAAAACAAACTGGCAAAATTGAAATAACAGCAAAATAGGCTACGGTAAAATCGGATATACATTATAGAAGTAACAGTGAATTGAGTGTAAAAGGACATAACGGGAATTAAAACGAAAGTTACTCTTTTAGTATATACCAGAGATTTGTGCCCGTGCGTTGCTGCGGGATTGAAAATTGTATCAAATGGTCTAGATTAAAACAATCAATTCAATCAAGATCCATATTCTCAACAAATTGAAACGGAGAACGTGATCAAGGATTTGATCACAATGCACAGCGAATCAACAACTAATACTCAATACTACACAATCCAAATAGTAATGATATTAAGTTATTTTTTAAACCTGATTGTACTAAGCGATTCTTTCAATAATATGATAAATTAAATAAAAGATCACTACCAATAGTTTAGATTAAAACAACCAATAGTTCCCCAAAAACCATTTAAGTAGAGTTAAGAAAAAAGGGGTTAGTCATGACCAAATTTAAGAAGTCACTAAAACCAATGCTCAATTGGAAACCTCATTGTATTCCATGCATGCAATGACTACAAGTCTGCTAATATGTTCACAGTCATGTTGACCTGTATAAAGAAAAACTCATTTAGTTCATAGCAAATTGTGAGTCATTCTGAATATAAAAACTTCCTTTTTCAATCACCCATCTAAATAAAAAAAATCAACTCCAAAATTGATGATCAGAAGTATAACTAAATGAAATGGGAAAACAGTTCAAGAACCTGCCAATGTCAAGTACTATGAATTTGTGGGATTAAAAATTGTATGAATGATTGTGTCATAGAATATTACTAAAATTTGCATTGAAAACGTTAGAAATTTTTTTACATACAATATACTCATTTACAAAAGAAACCAGAGCCACTGCAACGAACAGAGATATCAACCAATCATCACAGAACAAAACCAGTAAATACAGCATTCACAGAACTGAGTGACTCTTACACAATCCAAACAATCCAAACATAGAATTTTAGCTTGTTGGTATCAGATGATTAACTCTAATTACACTAACGCGGACACTATCTCTGAAGAAAACTAAAGAGAAGGACAAAAGTTGTGAAGAGTTATCAACCAAAGTACAAAGACCATAAAGCATGAAATGTTCAAGAAGAGCAGAATTCCACTCAACTGATGCATATTGCTGTCATAGCTCTGAGAATAGCTAACTAAACAAATATAACTCTAAAGGCAGCCATTATAAATAGGAAAGCTCATTTGATAAAAGGCTATATTAAAAAAAGGTTCATGTATATGCCCAATTATACAAACAATTTTGCTCAGGAATGCCTTTCCAACCTCCTACAGCAACAGACTTTGCATGCACAATTTGATAGTGTTTCTACCAGATAATATAGCCAATGGGATTAACAATTATTAAAGTTGACCCTGTACCATTAAGATACATAAGAAAATAACTATTTAACCAAAAATGAAGATCTAAAAGCTAGCCACTGTACATGTTCTGTCCATTCTATTCTACCAATGAAGCATGCATGTTAAGAAAATTATGTAAATCTAAACGCTTATTTCAAACAAAGCATGTCCATTCAGCTCTTAAAACCGAAAGAAAAGATTTAGGTTTCTTTCTTGCCCAAATCCACCAATTTGAATCAAATCTCTGCAACCCTTCCAATCAAACGCAAATTAATACAACTCTGCAATCAATAAACAAAACGCAAGTTAATACAACACTGCAATCAATAAACAAAACCCACATCAAAAATTCAACAAAGAAAGAGAATCCAGAAACCAAACCTATCAATCAATTCCTAAAATCAACAATAAAGAAAAAATTTCAATAAATAAGTATCTAACTCCACAAATAAACACAGCCCATATCAACTAATTCACAAAAATTAATAACAACTAAAGAATTACCTTCCAAGAGATGTAGACTCCGAGTAGGCTTCCAATAATGATTAGATCAATAAGAAAATAGTTGTAGATCATGGGATATCACTTTGGGATTTTCTTGGTTTACCTTTTCTTTTAAAATGGGTTAATACTTGATCATCCTGTCCTCCAACTTTCTGTTTCTCAATCTTCTGCAAGAGGATTGAAATCAGAACCATTAAGTTTCAGAAGAAACAAAGTCAAAGGAAAAAAATGGTGTCTCCTACGTCAAACAATGAAAATGCAAATTCCTTGGACGTAAAAGAAGGCAAGCGTGGAATGCTTACTCAAGCTCACCAAAAACAAAAAACGATTCCATCCAACAAAAGAATCAGAAAAAAGAATAAAAATTATATACCTTGTTGATAAAGAGCTTGCAAAGCCACAGATAAAAACTGGAAAATTCAAGCAACAACTTTTGCTGCAACTCAAAATCAAAGCAGATCAGAAAAGTACACCCAAAGCTTGAAAAAAATTAAATCACACACAATCAGAAAAATAGGAAATTCACCAGTAAACGTTTGATCGTATCCTTAACTTTTCCTGAAATCAAAAATCAAAACACAACAGAGAACCACGCATAAACCACGAAAAAAAATATATATTAAAATCCCATGTGGCAAGAAAACCAAATAACTCACCAAAGAACTTTAGATCGCATATCACACAATAATGTTATTGTTAACATCCTCTTCGGTTCTATAAAATCAGAAAAAGAAAATTTGCATAGAAAACCCATTTTGATATTCATATAAATTATAAACTCACATCATGTGGCATTTTTCAGATGCAGGAAAAAAGAACAAATGAATTCCCACGAATGTAACTCTTAAAAAAAAAAAAAAATTATATATATATTAATTCTACAACAAAACCCAAAAGCGAGCAACCAAAGTTTCCCACCTTAAGCACAAATGTCTTCGACAAAAGTTCCAGAAAAATAAAAATCTGAATCCCCTGAAATTCAAAAGAAAACCTGATTATACACCCACATGCAAAACCCAATGGCACAAAAAAAAAAAAAAAAAAAAAAAAAAAAAAACCCAAAAATGAGAAGAGAAACAATTTCAACAGAAAATCCATTTACAAATCCATTTGTCAAGACCCACAACACAACCTAACTAAAAAACTCACGGATTAAAAGTTTCTCCCCAAAAACCCCATCTCTGTCATCAAACGAAAACTCCGAAAGCAACAACCCATTTAAAATTGAACCCACAAAAATTAAAAGCTTCTAACATCTAAAATTGAACAGAACACAATCCATACAATTGCATAAAAAAGTTGTAAGTGCATGATTAGAAGAACTCACCACAAAACTATCCACTTTGAGACCAACAGAGGCGAAGAGAGGAGAGAGCAGACGGCTACGAAAGAAGAGAAGCAAAAGAAATGGGAAAAAATAAATGGACCAAAAGCAGTGAAAAGGAATCACAGTAGAAGGAAGCAAATGAAAGAGCCCCTGCTTTTCCAACCTACTTCCCTTACACGATGAGCAACACGTGTGCATGAGGGGCATATTAGTAATTTAACTGTGCAACTCACAATAAAAAGCTGAGAATGAGCAGCTAATGAAGGACAAATCCGTCCTTTTAACTATTTCTGAACAATGCTAATATATATGATGATATAATTTGGATTCATACTTATGCAATGAGGTCTAACACAACAAAAATCTGGTGTACAACGGGCAGATCAAGTGTTTGTGATGCCACAAGCACAAAATCAGGACCTCATTTATTTTCTCAACACTCAAACTTACATGTCAACAGAATTCAACATAACCGCTCATACACAAGAACACTTCTAAAACAGAGAAAATTGGAAAGAAAGGAATTATAAAATGACATTTATATTATTTTTATGACATACCTGTAAAATTATTACTCAGAATGTTCATTCAAACTAGTATTATGATCTAGAAAGTAAATCAACCAAATTACAATAGCATTCAATTCGGATAAGTGAACAACATTGTTGTTGGTTGGTAGGTTATCTATTCAAGTCTTGGCGGGCGAAGAGTTTTTGCAATTCTTTCGCCTAAATAGGTCATCTCATTAGCTCCTCACCAAAATGAGGTGTTATCTAATTACCATTTGTTTGGCACAGTGAAAGCCAAACTAGTTATATAACCTCGTAGTGATCTAGTAAACTTGTCTTTAGGTTCTAGAATCCAAGGCCGAGACGTGTTCCTTCCTCTGCCCAAATCGCTCACGTGTAGAAGTCAGCAGTGCATTCACCACTACCACCACATCGATTCTACTCACCTGACCAAGTTCAATTGCGAATTGGCACACCCACATTCATAAGAATAACGTAATTAGCTCATAATCACTCAACATTGTGCACCAAGTAGACATTGTAATTTCTAGTGTCAACAGTTACTAAAAGCATTCACCTTTACACTCAATCTCTCTCAAGTTCCGCTTCCTCTAATATTGCTTATATAAAAACAAATCATGTTTGTACCATTTATCATTTTTCCCAATATGAGGTCTATGAATGTTGGATCGAGGTGTATAGCATGTTGGAGGAGACATGTTTGTAAGTGTTCCAAGGGGAGATGCAATTTTCATGAAGGTGAGTTATTATTTATTCAAATGAGAGTCGACGACTATTTTGTAGTGCTAATAACAATTTCTTAAGCTTAGCTGCTTAATGCATTTGGAACTAATATGCAATCTTGTATGCAATCCTGTAGTATATATGTCACAATTGGAGTGACGAGCAATGCTTGAAACTTTTGAACTGCTACGGTAGGTACGCTCCCCGACAATGGGAAAGTGATTCTTGTTGACATCATTATTCCGGTATCTCCAAACAGCAGCCTTGCTACCAAGCTAGCTAACCATGTCGACATGGTCATGTTAGCTCACAAACCCGGCGGAAAAGAGAGGACGGACAAGGAGTTTGAGGCCTTGGCTAAGGGATCTGGATTCCAAGGCTTCCGCGTCATGTGCTCCGCTTTCAAGACCAATGTCATTGAATTTCTTAAGAAGAATTTGATATAACTTTGGCTATGGCATGCTGCCATATGCATCCATATTGCTTTGGTTTTTGATATGGTGACCCCATGTGGATTTTTCACCATAAGTAGACTTTCATATGTTCCCCCAAAAAAAAAAGTAATAAGAAAGGGATTTTATGTTGCTTATATGTTATAAATGTGGATTCATACTTTTGCAACGAGGTCTAACAAAACGGAAATCTGGTGTACAAGGGGCAGATCATGTGTTTGTGCTGCCACAAGCACAAAATCAGAACCTCATGTATTTTCTAGACACTCAACCTTACCTGTCAATAGAATTCGACACACAACCGCTCATACATAAGAACACTTCTAAAATAGAGAAAATTAGCAAGAAAGGAATTATAAAATGACATTTATATTATTTTTATGACATACCTGTAAAATTATTATTCAGAATGTTCATTCAAACTAGTATCATGATCAAGAAAGTAAATCAACCAAATTACAGAAGCATTCATACCGGCCATGAGGAGCCATAATCAGATAGGCAATAATAAATAAGGTAAACAGTTACACGCACAAAATTGACCCCATTGTTATAGATTCTCTAACACATGCATGTTCCACGTACAATTGTAGAGTCATTTAAATCACATGCCATAGAATCTCAACCACAGAATTTCATTAAAGCCAAATCTAACAGTCAAGAGGGTGTTCCTATTTTTTTTTTTGAAAAATAGAGATCCCTCCCCTTAAATGCTTCCTCTGTATATATATTTGATGAGGCTAGGGCTGCTGCTGGATCTTGAAAAGGTCCAAACAATGGTCTTTCTCCAAGTCCCGAGCCCAAAACTTTTTATAATACTCAGTATAAGTGTAGCCCCTATATATGGTTGCAGATCCATCCTCTGTGAGAGCTTTTGCTGGGCTTATTAGAGCATCGTCTTGTGGGCAGAGAAATGAAGCTATTGAGAGCCTTGCTCTCTCAGTATTGGTAACGGCTCGATGCCACACACTCTTGTAAATACCATTACTTAGGGCCTGCACCAACCAATAATTTTCATTTCACAATTACATGCACAATTTGAGGTTCTGTCCATACACAACTTTTGGTTTCACAATGACTGCATAGAATTCGAGTTTGAATACACAATCTAATACTTATAACCTAAAATCAAAGATCTAGCGCGCAATTTTTTACCTAAGTAATCAACTCTCTCAACAGATGGGATTAAAGTTAATAAAATTGATGCTAGTGAGATTTCTTCAAAACATTCCACCTTATAAATAAAAAAAGGACGGCATACATAGAATTCTTTTGTGTTATATGTTACCTGTAATTGGTCACCAATGTTAATGACAAAGGCATTAGGCTGGGGATTGACAGCAACCCATTTGCCATCTTTGAGAACTTGAAGGCCAGCAACTCCAAGGTCTTGGAGCAAAATTGTTAGGGCATTTGGGTCGGTGTGGCTCGGCAGTCCATAAGTCAGCTCGGGTTGGGGACACGGCGGGTAAAAGTTCACCGCCATGTGCTGTCCTTGCTCGCCCAGTGCGCTCTTTATGTAATCTTTCTCCAGCCCTAAACTCTCTGATATTAATTCCTCTAACCTGTATCCAAGTTCTCGAACCTCTGTGCAGTAACTACTCACAGTGTCCCTGCAGCTCAAAAGGGTTAATGTAAGATTGAAAAAGCAAATCAAAGCCCAATTTCGGCCTGAACATGCCCAATTTTAAGTTTGGTATTCGGAATCATGCAATCATTTTATTTTGGTGAAAGTGTTTTTACGAAGGAAATTATATTTTCTAACACGCCCTTGAATTTTAATAGCGTTTACTTACAAGAAAAACATAATAATAAATAGGGAATATTTTAGATCATCACCCCAAAGTGATGTTTACCATCTCATTTATAAACGTTAGATAAGTTTAAATTTGGGTTAATTACATTTTACCCCCTCAGGTCTGGGATCGATTTCAATTCCTTACATCTTTAAAACATTTCACTTTCATACCTCATCTACTATTTTATTTCAATTTCATACATCCATTAGAAAATCTGTTAAGTAAACCATTAAGTGATGACGTGTCAAATATGGAATCCACATTTGTGCTAATGTGGCTGCCAAATTTATGCGACATGGCAAAAAAAAAAATTATGCATTTAAAAATAATTAATTAAAGAAAAGGTCAAAAAAAAAAAAAAAAACCTATCATTTTCTCACCAACGAAACACAACCCAGAATCCCAATCTCCTATCCTCTTTCATCGATACCTTCGTCGACTTCTCCGTCAGCGGAAGCCTCTTCCTCTTACCCCAAACCCCCAATCATTCAATTCCCGCCTCCCCTCAAAATCACCAGAATGCCCTCCCTGCCACAGCTCTGACGATCCCCTACCCTCGCGCCCACCGCTACAAACCTATTACCCCCCCCCCCCCCGCCGGCAGGACCGTTTGGTCACAATTGGCGATCTCCACGGTGACTTGAAGAAGACCAAGGAATCGCTGAGGCTTGCTAAATTGATCGACCCGAAGTCGGGTAAATGGGTCGGAAGGTCCACCACCATGGTCCAGATCGGTGGCGTGATGGACCAGGGCGGCAAGGAGATTAAAATCCTGAGAGAGGGTGGGTGTAAGTTGTAGAGGAGAGAATGGTGGGTGGGGTTACAGATGAGAGAAGGGAGAAAGGGGGTGGGGGTAATGAGGTAGGAGACGGGTGGATTTTGGGTGGGGTGGGGTGGGGGGCTGCTGGGGAGGAGGTGGGGGTGGGGTGTTAGGGTTGCAGGGAAAGGGAAGGGCTCGGGAAGAAGATAGGTGTTTTTTTTTTTTTTTTTAATTTTTTTAATTTTTTAATAAATAGGGTAAATTATTATAATATTTTAAATGAATAAAAAAAATTTACCACATGGCACAAATGTGGTAGCCACGTCAGCACAAATGTGGCAGTCACGTCAGCTCTTAATAGATCAATTAATGGAAAATGTAGCAGAGGTACTATATTAAAATAAAATAGTAGGTGAGGTATGAAAATGAAATGTTTTAAAGATGTTGTAAGGAATTGAAATCAACCTTAAACCTGAAGGGGTAAAATATAATTTACCCTTTAAAGTGAGCTCCTATTTGTAGTTGTTATATCAAATTTCAATGATTCAAATTGATGGATCCCTAAGATTAGGATGCATGGATCTAGGTCCAAGTGGTAGGATCAAAAGAGATAACTATTTTTGGAAAGCTCAATACTGCCACGGCATCACTCTATAAAATTGAATCATATTAGATTATCTCTGGATACATCATATTATCTTGTTAAGAAAATTAAATCAAAATGAACGGGGAACTGTATTTACACGTAGCCAATCATTCATCAACCACCTCATCCGTACCTACGTCAACACGAACTAACCCCTAATACATCACCACTCCACTATACAATAAACCGAACCAAAATGCATCGACCGTTGGGATCTCCCCTTTCTTGACCTAAAATATCGTCACACCGTCAATCAGCCACGATTCCCGTACGCAAAGATTTTTAAATCAGTAACATGTAGGCCCGGCTATATCATTTTTTTTTTTTAAAGCCAACATGTGTCAAGTTACAGTTATCCACCTATTACATATTCAAAAAGACTATTGAGAATTTCATCTTACCCGTGGGCACAGTCAAGTAAACTCATCGGCTCGAAGCATCGAACCCGAAACTTTCCACATTTTCTAGTTCAAATTAAAAAGTTTAATTTTGCTACAATTTTGCTAGTTCAAAGATACAGGTGATGTTTACCTCTTTATTTATCGAGTTTAGATTAATTTAATTTAACTGATATATGATATAAACTTTGAAATTAAAAATAATTTAGCCACAATCAATTATGTGAGCATCACTCTCAACTTCAGAAAAGTGAGCAAAAATTCACCCAAGTGAGAATATCATCCGACAATAAGCCACCGCCGTTGATTGAGCCCGATTAGTAACAATGAACTTCAAAACTTTGGACAAGATTTTTGTTCAAAAATAAAACTTTAGACAAGATAATGCCTACTCTGTCATAGATTCGGACAAAGTTAACGTGCATCCATTTTCCTCCTACAATAATCAGAAATGGCTGCAAGTGCTGCCGACTAAACTATAATTTTTTTCTTTCTTTTTTCTTAATAAATTACTGAGAAGATGTAGCCGATATGTTAAGAAGCTACTAATTAGTTATTAGTACAATGTTTAACTTTCTTTTTTATATTTAATTACATTAAATAATAATTTAGCTATATCAAACAAAATTAAATCATGAACATATGCAGGGCCGTATCTGAGATTTTGGGAGCTCTGTGCGAAATTTATAAAAATGCCCCTCCTTAAGATAAGTCTTAAAAAATGTACGACAATGTATTGACACTAGAAAACAGTTACTTAAATCAAAACAAAGTTTAGCACTCATTGATTGCAAGTTTAAAAATATCATTAATAATAAGTAAAAAGAGCTACAAACATAACATTCACTAAATAATCAAAAGCAGTTCAATCTTAAACAACCAAAGAAGAAAACGAACTTCAAAACTCTAACTTTAAAGTTTCACTTGAATATGTAACATTATTATATAATAATATTGAAAAAATACCGTCTTTTATGGTGTATTATTGGCACTCAAAATATCTTATTGTACTCTAAATTTTTGTATTTAGAAAGAAAAAAAAATTACTCTTATAAGAAGTGTAAGATGAGATTTTAACGTGCTAACAAAATCAATTTTTGAATATAGAACATTATTTCATAACAAAAGCAATTTTAAATATAGAATATTATTACATATAAATATTAGGTAACAAAAATTTTGGGGGCCCTTTCAAATTTAAGATCTTGTGCGACTGCACCTTTCGCACCCCCTCATCACCCCCTCTGAACAAATGGCGGCATATGTTAACTGGAAACTACTAATTAGCAAAGCTGCATAAAAATATTTGTGTGTTTTAGCCGTTTTATAAAGTTTCTGGAGAATCTATGTGCTAATTTCTTCATGAAGGATCGATTTTCTACAGTTTAGATGAACATCGTACTTTCAAGAACGCCATGTGGGCACATGCCAAGTCAATGCAGAGTCATAGCATTTTAAAGGGGAAAAAAAACAAAGATAAAAGATTTAGAGGTGATTGTCATTAAGATTATTAGATCCAATCAAGGCCAATTAGTTGTCTCAGTTGTTATATGGTATATTTATGTGTAAAGAAAAACGACTTTTAATAACTGAACATTGTTTAGTAAACCCTAGAAACCACGTACCCAAGTAGTTAAACCCTACAAACTAAAAGCTATACAACTTACAACAGCCATAATCTATATGGTTCCTTTAATAATATTTCACTTTTCAATGTACAGAAAGAGATCTTAAGATTTAAGAATGTTCCCGTTAATATTAGAATATAAAAAGAATAGGTCTAAACTTTTCTGATTATAAAATTTCTTGTGTCAGACGTAACTAATAACATCATCTTATTAGGAGTCCAAATAGTAGATAAACACGTCGTGTGTAACGAAAAAATGACGTGAATTCTCTGCAGATTAGTTATTTTCTAATGCCAAACTCTTTTTATTAAAGACCTATATGATATATAGCACACTATGAAATACATGTGATAAAAAACAATGTGGCAGACAGCATAGCTTTTTCCCACAGAATAGATGGTGTCTGATGCATCTCTGAGAAAGAAAGAGACAAATAGTTGTGAGACAGATCTAGAGAGGGAGAGACGTACTTGAAGGAAGAAGGATTGGAGGGCCACTCAGGAACGTACTTGTCCAAAGGATAGCAATGGAGTCGAAGATAATCTCTCCAGTTATGAACCTTCTCCTTGTTCAGATTAAAACTTGTTGAAAGTCTCATGGTTTTTGAGGGATCATCTGAGTACAACTTCAACTTTTCCTCCACAGGAAGGCTAAAAAACTCATTGGCCACCCCTACCATTTTTTCCACTCCTTCCGTTGACACCCCATGATTAATAACCTAGCACCAAATTCACCCAAATATCAACACTCAAACGGATACACACACAAACATTTCAGTTTGTGCAAAATGCGATTGTTGAGTTTTCGCAATATCATAATTAAAGTGACATGGGGATCCATATATAAGATGTTAATGATGAAGGGAGGAGGGTACCTGAAAAAAGCCATAATTTTTGCAAGCATCGCCAATTTGCTGCACAGTTTGGGCTCTGTTTGGAGAAGCCAGGTCAATGACTGGAATGTTTTGGCATTCAGACACTTCGGACAAGCCAGGGCGGTCGGATTCTGGTCTGACATAGCTTTCCGGCACGTTGGAGTGTCTGACTCCGGAGGAGAGGACTTTTGCATCCATGTTTCTGTATAAGTTTGATGGGGGGGACAAAGGCAGCAATAAAAATGCAGTCTCTCTCTCAGCCGCTAAGCTTAATTTAGAGCCAGTGAAGTTCTAGGAAGCTGCACAGCTAGTGATATTGCCCATTATATTTATAGGAAAAGGTTCCTCGCCATATCCTTTTCTTGGGATTCAGGAATCTTATGATCGTGTTCGTTCATTGTACATCGTGCAGTCAGAAATTATTTGAAATTTAAAATTTAAAATTTAAAATTAAATCTAAGTAGTACCTAACGAAAATTGACCGCACAATATACGATAAACGAACACGATCATAGGATCCCTCAAATTCCCATCAAAATGATCCTTTTCCGTATTTATATATGAGAAAAAGGGAATTGATGCCCTTAAAGTCAAAGATTCAGGGTTCACTTGTGCATAATGTTTGGAAGATTAAATTTAATATAAAATTTATAAATTAAATAATGTGTCATTAATAAGAAATGAACATATTTATCAACGCTTAAGTAATAATACAATCGTCAACTTCTATATTATTTAGTTTACAAATTTAATTTCCTCGCAATCTTGCATACCAATATTTATGCGACATCTGATGTGGGAGAATTGGACGGCAAAGTTGCTTACGTAAAAACTATAGACAATTAAATTATTAATTATGTCCTACTTTCTATCTTTTATTTGGTGAGCAAACGATCAAATTCTTACAGAATAAGAGTAAGTCCACCGTTGTGGATTGCTCGGGGGACAGTGGACCAAACAGGGTTGGATAGCCTCGCTGAAGCCCTTCAGCGTGGGGAGCTCGAGGGAATGAGCTGGCCCGAGCAAGAGGCCTGTGAGGAATCGCCAGCCCGCTAGCCCGAGGTGGACCTGATGCAGGGTTGACGTCAGCCTGGTGTCAGTCACATTTTTAAATTTTTTTCTGTCAGGCGCGTGCGCCTCACCCGGGCGTGGGGGCACGTAAGCCGATAAATTTTAGACCCCAGGGGCCTGCGGTTTAGTTTGCCTCAGTTACCATTGGGAAGCCACGTGACTTCCCACAGTCCGTTCGATCTCAACGGCTCTTTAAAATGGGCCGTCCAATTTGCAACGGTAATAAAAAAAAAAAATTATGATTCAATATTAACCGTTCGATCTAAGATCGACAGTTGATATTAATTTGTTTTATAAATAAATAAATAAAAGAAAAAATAGTTTTAAAATTAAGAAAAGTTACCGTTGTGACACGTGGCACAATCTGGAGTGTTGGAATTCAAATTTTTTATATATCCAACAGCAGAGATTAATTAGTTGAATAAAAATTAAAAAAAAATTGTAAAAAATCTGAATTTTTTTTTAAAAAGAATTGTTTTTACTTTTCTATAAATATTATCTGATTATCATCTACCTTACACCACAATTTCATATTTTCTCAACTACTTTCAATCATATTTCTATCTTTCTCTGAAAGTTTCAATCCAATTTTTTTCAACAAAATGACAACTGATGCAGGTACGAATTGGTCGCTTCTTGAACATGTTGCGTTGTGTACTAGCTGGGTTGAAATTACTCATAGTTCGCTTACAGGTAATGCGATGCAGTTGCGAGAAATGTGGAGTCTTATTCATACCAATTATCTTGAGAAAATGGGTGGGAAAATAACCAAACAATCGATGTACATTCGTTGGAAATTACTTAGCCAATCGTTTAGTACGTGGAGAGATGCCTTGGCACAAACCAGTAATAATATTCGAAGTGGGGAAAATTACTCGAATCAGGTAACAATATATTATTTATTTGTTTGTACTATACCCAAATTTACATTATAATTATTTGTTTATATTATTTATTTGTTACCTACTTACATTATAATTATTTGTTTGTATTATTTATTTGTTTCCTACTTTTATTATAATTATTTCTTCTACCGTATTGTATAGCAACTTCAAGCACAAGCTTGGTACAGTGCCAAAATCAAAAGCAAAAATAAATCATTCAACTAGTGGGAATGTTGGAATATTGTCAAAGATTGTCCTAAATTCAGAGTTGTGCATGTCGATCCAGAAGTTTTCATGAACAGCACCCCTCTACACTCTACACCCGATCATGGCTCGCATATTCATGAAGATGATGCAGATGAAATGCCCGAAACGCCCCTCCCTGAACAAGTATCGGGTTCGACCAGTTATCCAATTAGGCCTAAAGGTAAGAAGGCTTCAAAGAGAAAAGGGAGTGCTTCCAAGAATGATTATGCAAAGTACATGGAAGAACTTGCTCGCCAAGGTGAATTGACTTTGGCGTGGAAATGGCGAAATTTGAGGCTAATAAGGCTAGAGAGGAGGCAAAAGATGTAGCTATTGAGAGGGAATTTCAAGCAAATGAGAGAAAAAAAAAGCTACTTAGGCAAGAAAGGGAACATGTTAGAGAAGAAAGAATAGTTCAACGAGATCGTGAGATTATGAACTGATAAGCTCATATTTATATATATTTTATATCAAATTCACTTGTCTTTTCTTAGTTAGTTCCTTATATTTTTGACTTATTTACTTTGTTTTTGTGTTTTGTAGGATTTGTTAAGCAAAGAAAAGAAAAATAGCACAAGTGGGATTTTAAGTAACAAATTCGTCAAAACTGTCTGTGCAGGTCAGCTGACTTTGGAAGCAAGTTGCGGACAACTCAGAATGAATTAGAGAATGAGCCTTATATACTTGGAAAGCTACTAATGTCTATTTTCTGGAGCATTTCGCGGATTGTTAATATCATTTTTCTAGAAGTTATGGCCGTTTTAACACTAAAAGGTTTTCAAGAGGCTGAGCAATTTGTAACTGACAAGAAAGCAATAAAAGCAATAAATCTAGCAGCCAAAACTGATGCAATCAAGAACAAACCAGCTGACACTTATTCAAATATAAAAGGGAATAGAATTAAAGATGAGGATTAAGAGGGAGTATTTGGTATAAAGGCTACCCAAGGAGTTACAATTGTTTTACCATTTCCTCTCACTTATTGTCATCACTAAATGGCTATTAGGGGGTGAGTTAAGGAGAAGAAAATGATGCAGCAAGAATTGGTTTAAAAGTAGTGTTGGGGAAGGAAGGAAAAAAAAGAGCCTTAGTCGATTTCTTTTGGTTTTATTTTCTCAAACTCTTGTCTATTTTTTGTTTTAATTTAAGGATTGTGTAACTAAATTTTTAGTAGTTAGGGGCTGTTTGAAGCCCCAAATATGATTGCAAGTTCGTTATGACATTTCGTTTGAATTACTTTTATGAATGGATGAAAATTGATTCATTATTTGTCTCATTGATGAATTCTTTATGTTTTTTCTACGGATGTATACTTAGTAAGCATAGCTAGGATTCTAATGCTATGAATATGTGTGTGCTTGCCCTCGTCGAATGAGGACCTACATATGTTCTAAAGTAGTACTTGTTAATTGCGATTAACATGTGAATCAATTTCTAGGATAAGTAAGACAACGCTAGTACTTACGATGCCTTGTGATGACTCAAACTCTTTTCGTTCTTAATGATTTCTACTTGTTAAATCTATGAACACGCCATTCTAGATTGCATGTTAAGGACTAAGTTAAGTTGAAAACAACATTCCCTTAACATACTACATAAAAAAAGGTAATAGATTGAGTTCTAACATTAAGCCAACTTGAGCATCTTCATCTGGAAATAGAAGGAATTTGAATGAAACATAGCATGTTTGCATGATTATTTGGTGGTGTATAACACTTCCCTTAACTCGTTTTCTTAACTTGTGAATTACAATCTATTTTTATTATTTAAAATATGTCTCTGTCCTATTTTTGTTTGATTTAGTTCAAATACCAAATCAACACCAAAAATCCCAAAATTTTTTGTGAGTATAGCTCTGTGTGTCTAGTTTCTTCATATAAAATTTCATAGACTTTAGATAAGTGTAAGTCGGTGTAATAATTATTTTTTTGTGGCTGGTGACTAGGGACAGTAGCCCAGTTTTTGTGACATTTTAAGTAATTAGATAAAACAATCTTTTGCAGGAAAGACCTTTATTTTCATATGCTACAATTGACAAATCTTAGTGTTAATAAGGAAAATAAATAGGACATTTGTGTGCTACTTTGTGGTGTGTTTTTAAACCTATCATGAACACGCATTTAGAAGGGAAGTCTTCAAATTATAAATATTTTTGGAAGTCGGAGAAAGCGGACGTGGTGCGAAGGAGGCGTGCAAAAGAAGCGATAGCAAAACAAGATGGTCTTAGCACCACAAGAGAAGATCATCCTAGCACCACAAATTGGTTAAGTGATGATGAATAAAGTAGTTTTTGTAATCGGAGCCCATAATTTTCCAATTACTTTGGGTTGTAATTTATTATTTATTGAATTTCGTAAGTTATTTATACTAAGAGAATATTTATTCAAATGACAAAAACACACTAAATAAAATTACATAAACATATCGAATAATAAAAACTTACTAAACCTGAACTAAAAAAAACACACCAACTAAAATTAAATAAACACACCAAATAAAAACAAACACACTAAATGAACTTAATTATCTTCAGCTTGTTTCAATACCCATTGGTGCTCTATCAAGTCATTTTGCCTGGTATTGTGCATACATGGCCTTTGAAGTGCAGTATATCGTTGGATGACCAATTCATTGTAACGTCCATCCCTTTCTAATGACTCATGTTGCACAGGTTCTTCGGTGGTGTCATGAGTGCAATATATACGTGTTCTTGAATTGTTCATCGTGTCTGGCTCATATTCATTAACGGCATTATAATCGTACTCATCTTCCACAACCATGTTGTGAAGAATGATGCACGTCATCATGATGGATCGAAGCGACTTTACATCAAACAATATGACAGCACTCCTAACGATCCCCCAGCGAGCTTGGAAGATGCCAAAACAACGCTCTACATCCCTCCTGCACCCCTCTTGACAGCTTGCAAAGTGTTTTTCCTTTGCACTTCGCGGACGTGGCACTATTTTGACAAATGTTAACCACCTTGGGTAAATGCCGTCTACTAAGTAGTATGGCCCGTCATACATATGTCCGTTGACGCAGTACGTGACTTTTGGTTCATTTCCTTGCAGGACATCGTTGAACACTGGGGATTGGGTAAGGACATTGAGGTCA